CCCCCCCCCCTATTCTGTGTGTGTGTGTGTGTGTGTGTGTGTGTGTGTGCGTGTGTGTGTTTGACAGTGTCTGACTCATTCTAAATCTGTATGACCCAGAAAACTATTCTATTCATGAAGCGTATTTCATCTCATGTCTTTATGACTTTATGAATTCAGTTTTTGTTTCACCATCTGCCACTCTTGTGTTCGTTAAAGTGCAGGTAGACAAAACCACATTGACGATTTACTTCTTTGTTGATGCAATTCTCATATAGCATTTTGGCATTTTTGGCATATACAAAATCTATAATCTAAATATAACTTTGCAGTTTTTTGGTCTCTGTGGAGCAGTGTTTCATTTTGTTTTAATTTCATTGTCAGACCTATTTTATGGCCAACAAATGCTGTCAAATGGTATTTAAAGAAATGTTTTAATGGCTTTGTTGCTTAGATAAGAAGATCGATATCACTCTCATGTCAGCGACAAATATGGAGCGACAGTTAGCCTAGCTTAGCTCAAAGACAGGAAACAGGGGGAAACAGCTAGCCTGGTCGTTAAAAGTTAGTTATTGTTTGTTCCACACGAAAACTGAAGTGTGAGGTTATTTCTTTGCTCTGAGCAACATACAGTCATTTCCAGGAAGTTACTGTGGTGAAGCCCAAAGCCATCCCATAAAAGGGCAAATTGTGATTTATACCGGTAAATTCCTCAAGTCTGCACTGTGTCCCCGCAGCTGTTCCTGGATGAAACGAACAAGACATAACATGTTATTTGGGGAGCTTCATTTAGAGCTTGTAGGTGGATTTCAGCAGGCTGGTGCTTCATATGTACAGACATGACAGTGGTATTGATCCTCTCTCCACTAACTATAAATGAACTATTCCAGAATCCAACAATGATTAACCTTTGTAGCAGCACTTCCAACTATAAATTGTTTCATTATTCTATCTAGTCCATTTAATACCCTGCATCATATTCTCAACCAATGGGTTTTGAGCCACATGCAGGTGTTCAGATTGTCATGCTGCTCACACAACCTCACCAGGAGGAGCTTCTGTGCTGCATGTCTGAATATTAGACAGCATCCGATAAAAACGATCCTTTGGGACCATCTCCAATGTGCTGTTTACTTTTGGAAATGTGGTCTACTCACATGGATTACAACTGATATTTGCAGACGTGCTGTGAAAGTCGACTGAAGCTTCCCAAACCACAGAGGCATCGTGGGACTACACAGGACCTCAGCTCGTATACTTTCTGACTTTTTTGTTGTTGTTGTTGACAGAAGTGAAGCTTGAAGAAAGACATAAATCAGATGTTCAGTACATCTCATGCAGAGCTGCCTTTCGCAGCTCCAAAGGGCAGCCATCCATGATTCATAATCTATATTTCATGACGGAATTCAATCCTAGTTTTCACTGGGAGACACCAAAATGTCATCTGAACAGCTCCCTTAGGACCAGATTGGGAAATCTAGTTCTGCTTTAGAAGTAAAGACACAAACAAACACTCGGCTCGTGCACAGATTCATTGTCTGTGTCCCACAACAAGATGACAGACTGCAGCTTTCCTCATTCCAAGACAAGACGGTTGTTTATTGTCTTACACATGAATTATGTTCACATCAGCCATTTCATTGATGTCATGCATGAGTTTATTTGTCATGCAAACAGCACCTCGGCACATTTCCTTTCACCTTCCTTCAGAGGGACCATCTTGTTGTTGTAATCTGCAGGACATCTGTCCCTCTGTCTGCCCCGTGCTCATCTGCAGATAACTTGCGCTTTGTTTGGGCACAGTCGCTCTGACTTTGCCTTCCAGGCAAAAAGCCGTATGAATGTAAATGGGATTTGGTGTAAACAAAGAATAGATCAATTACCTGACACCCTTTAGTCTTTCGATGTACAGCACACAATGGATGAATACAAAATAACCACAATAAGGGTCTGAGACAAAAAGAAAAAGATTCAGCATCATCGGATGTAGCGTTCAACACCTAAATGCACAGAAGAGACTCGTTATGATACAGAAGTGGGACGACTGCAATATAAACAGCCACTGTCATGAGGTTAGTCATTTTGCTTGTTGTTGCGCACAGAATGTAAAGTGGTGGAGGAGAAGAGGGAATCTCCGTGTTAGAAGAAGCAGTCTGTGACGTTCAGTGGTTTTCAGCTTTGCTGAGTGTGCACAAAATACAGTACCTCCATAAATACACTACGTTTTGACATTTTTGATAGTACCCTCTCTTAAAACTGGAAGCAGAAATTCACATTCATATGGCACCATCCTGAGATATCAAACTACTGGAAACAAAGAATCTAAAACAAAACAGAGCGGAAGTGACTTTAAGATATTTCACTAAGAATGTATCACGGTGACTCCAGGAAGCAACTGCTTCTGTTTCCGCTGGATCCTCAGTATATGTCGAGTTGATCGAGGTCACAGCAGCTTGACTAATGTGCAGTATGTAGAAGGAAAACTTCTGGGTGAATATATGATGTGTTCATTTTCTTTGGTCATACAAACAATTTAAACATTTTTCCTGTGGGAAACAGTACGGCTCTATTATTCAGTTGAAACAGCAACAAGAAAACCTATACATCTTTAGGAGAGGCAGCTGGTTCAAGTCCAGACGACCAGGCCACTGAAAGCATCAGCATTTTAAAACATTTAAGACGCAGCCATGGGAAGGAGAAGCCAAGAGGAACAGAAAAACTACTGCCTAACCAAACACGCTTCATCTGGTCCAGTAATGAGCATCATCACCGTGTGGAAAACAACTCAATGTGCGTCCTCCAGCAGACGAGAAGGGAGCCGGCAAGAACCACAAGTCATAGGTCAAAGGTCAAAGTTCAGACATTCACTAAAACGGTCAGCGATGAGTTACCCACGGTGGAGAAAGGTGGCATTTTTGGCATTTCTTTCACAGTGGGTGAAGTTTTATTTCTCTTAAATCTTGACATTAACTTGCCTTTTCTTTGGCTTGATGTGTTGGCGGGACATAAAAATGGATGCCAGGATGACGGCATCAGACTAGCTGGAGCTCTTACGTCCCTGCACGTGAGAGCTGTTGCTGTCTGTCTTTCTCTGTGATGGCGGCTTGCTCATCTCCTTCAGGACCTTCAGGCTGTACAGTTTGCTAAAAGTGAAGCTAAAAGGGGCCTTTTCTTCTTCCTGCGGTGATACCGTCTGGCTCTGGGAGGCCTCGGGTTTCGGGGGAGGATGTTGATTCGGCGTCGGTCCGGCTCTCGTCCTGCTCTGCGCCGCCGGAGGCTGTCGGGAGACTTCGTCGTACTCCCGCCCGGCCGCTAACCAGTCAGCACCCGCTGTCACCCGAGGAGGTGGTCTGGACGGCTGTCTGCGAGGAGACGAGGTGTTATCCGCGCTCTGGACACTACCGGGGAGCACCTTGCTTTCCACCTGGTTCAGATGACGGCTTCCCCAGATTCGAGGCCCCAAAGCCCGGTTGATTGAGAGGGGTTGAGGGGGTCTGGATTGTCGGGAAGGGGACGGTGCTCTGATGTCTCGCTGCTGTCCTCTGGGAGTTTTGAGAGGAGTATGCAGAAGCTAGGGAAAGAGAGGAGAATAATGTATCCATAATGAGCTATCAGTACATTTCACTAGGGTTTATTATCACACCATATTGTATTATATTGATTTCCTGGAAACTTATCTCCAAGGCAGATAAAACATTTCTCACAAATGCAGCTCCGGTGCCAAGTGTCACAAAAGCTTTGTTGCAAATGGAAAAGACAGGAACTTGGGTACTAATGTGAAAACCGTTTTTGTCACTCAAGTTAATATAACATGACAGAACTGAGTAACAACAAGCCAGCAACACCTCACTGACTTAAAAGGACTATTGCGAGATAAAAAAGCATCGGCTCGACGGTAGGCGAGTCAAACTACGGTAATAAAACCATCAATCTTTTACCGAATCATCAATATTGCATCATTGTGAACACACGCGGTGCTTCATTAAAAGTATGTGACTTTAATTCGGGGCACAGTCTCCTTGTTCAATAATGAACATGTTTTCTGGCGCATAGTCAACAGGACTAGACACACACACACACACACACACACACACGAACCGAAATGGTAGGCTAGTGTTAGATAGATATACTGTATATATATATATATAGAGAGAGAATTTTGCAACAGGTCATTTAATTTTGTACAAACCAACTGCTGATATTGTACTAGCTTTGTCTTTTTAGCATGGTAATGTAATTTGGGTAAATACAGTGAAGCTAGTATTACTCAAAAAGTTAATTAATATTAATATTTACTCTATGATTAAATATTACATTTTAAATGATGTACAACATGGGTCTAACTTGTCACTTACGTTATGAAAAACCCTCAAGGTTCATTTTTATTGATAAGAGTATCGATAAGGAACCGAACCGAAAAGCAGAATCGATAAGAGTAATAGTATTGATAAAATCCTAACGATACCCGTCACTTGAGTTAACAGATAGTTCAATCTACTGACATAATACATTGATATTTACACATCTCAATTTTCACTGCCAACATGAAAATATAACAAACTACAAAGAGATCAAATATTCTCAGTAAAACTACTTCCACAACCACTTTTTATGAGATATAGTTGTGAAGATGTCCCCTCATAAAGTGGGTGAACTGTGCTTACAGCAGTTAAATATAAACCTCCTTACCTTCTGTCCGTCAGTGTCTCCGGTTGAAGGGGGCCTGTCTCTCCTCTCCGCACCGCTGGGTCCTAATGCCGCCCTGTCCGCTGCCTTCTCCATGTTAAGTCTCTTCCTCTCAGAAGAAGACTTCCTTAGCTGACGGTCACCTGCGGAAAATCGCTGTGGCTCTGTCCTCTCATTGGTTAATTCAGTTGGAGTCACTCCGGCATCGACCGGTCTCCCGGCTGCTGATTGGCTTATCACCCTCTTTCTCTTCAGGGCTTGAGCCTCGTTTTCTTCTTCTGAATGTTTAAAATGTTTAAAATGGTCGGCTGTTCTCTTTGCGTCCTCGCTGCCTCTCCTGTCTGTCGCCTGGTAATCTCCCTCTGTCCTCCTCTCGCCACGTTCATCCTCTTCTCTCCCATTTTCAAAATTTTCCTCCTCCATTTTCTTTTTTAAAGAAGCCGAAGAGGAGGCGCTAGCAGGCCCAGACAAACTCTCTGTTTCACTGATAGAGGTACTCCTGTCTGCTATGTGTGAAGTAGCAGCCCAAGTGATGGTTGTGGCGTTGGGAGTATTTGCGTGCGTGAAGCTAACATGGTCGTCTGTCGTCCCGTGGTTGCGGAAAGCTGCTCGGTCAAAAACTGGCTCGTGAAAAGGAGAGTCGTTACACTCGTAATACTCCTCTGATGCGGTGGAGAGAGCCGAATTTGTTCTCGGTGAGATGAACCCGTCGGACGTCGGCGTTTGAAAATTTGGACTGCGCGGATCCGGCGTGTGCGTGCGTGAGTCCGGGGTGTGCGTGCGTGAGTCCGGGGTGGGCGTGCGTGGGAGAAATCCGTCCGGAGTTGGAGTGCGTGGGAGAAATCCTTCCGGAGTTGGAGTGCGCAGGAGAGCCGAGAGCGACCGCGACTCTCTCTCCGGCGTCGCCGAACGAAAGTCTGGCACGTGTGTGTCGGAGAGATGTAAGTGCAGAGGTCTTGCAGGTGTGTGTCTGCTCGCTTGTGCTTTAGGGATTTGTTCTTGGAAGGTGCCGTGTGTGTTGTATTTTGCAGCTTTTGGCACGCTGTCTGTGACGCGGGCCGGTGTAAAACTTAGATTACCATGCGGACTTTCTGTGTCTGTACTGTGCTTGGATGTGTGCGTGGCAAAAACGGTGTATGTTGGAGCTTTTAAAGAGTCCACAATCTCTGATACATCTACATCCTTTGGACTCAACTCACTATATGACTCACTTTTTTCATTTGGCACTTCCGATCTTTCCGGGGCCTTTATCTCTGTCCGTACTGTGGCTTCACACTCTATCTGCCGGGTTATTTGGCAGTCTGTCGACATCAAAGTCTTGGGCTCGACATCTGTTGGAATTATTTCTTGAGTATTCACCCTCTCTGCCTTTGGCGCATCAGTAATCAAAACATCTGACTTGGCTTTGTTTCCAGCGGCCAACTGCATTGCTGCTCTCTCATGTCGTCCATCTGCCTCCTTGGTCCTTGTCTCTCTGGAGGTCCCGCTCTGCTTGTGCTGTGGAGCTTCTCCGGCATCCAGCGTGTTATCGTCATCTTGCTGTGCTTCCGGTTTGCCTCTGCTGTCGCTCTGCAGTTCTGGGACGATCTCGGGCACGTTTTCTGGTGAAGTCTGCACCACAGCTGCCACGGCGGGCTCATCGTGGATGAGCCCTGTGCTCGTCTCAGGCTTCCTGACAACACTGAACTCCGGCAGCTTCTGGCCATCGCTGGCGCCTTTGAAAACCAGCTGGACAGTACGAGGTTTAGGGACGGGAGGGGTCGAGGTCGACGATGGGGCTGCCGAGGAGGAAGGGAGGGGAGGATTGGGAGTTGTAGAAGAAAAAGTAAGAGGAGGAATGGAGGAAGAGGACAAAGGAGAAGAGGAACCGATAGTCCTGCTTGTAGCGGTGGAGACGTGGCTGTTTTCTGAAAACGAGGAGGAACTGACAGAAGTAGAAGAGGAGGACGTGTGGCTGTTGGCGGTGGGAGACTCAGCGTAAGGAGTAATTTCACATGAGTTCCGAGGCTGCGCGTTAACAGCTTGTGAATCTGTGCACAGCGGCACCGTCTTTGTTTGTGCGTGCGGTTCCGTGTCTGAGTCGGTGGGAGGACGCAGGTGCGGCGCTTGCGTGCTGTACGAGACATCACGCTGTGTGTTTGAATTAGTTTCTGCTTCTCTGTCAGCGTATGATCCCGGGAGGGGTCGTGTGCTGTGCGAAGGGCTCCCGGTATTGGGAGTGCGCGCTTTGCTGCTGGGTTGGCGAGGTGTGCGTGCATCTTGCTCGGTGGGTGTGTTTGAATGCTGTTTGTTCTCGGTGTTGAGGGTCTTAGTAGTGTCAGAGTCACTCTTTGGTCCGGATGCAGGTGATTTCTGTCTGGTTGCCTCTGCTTTACTTTTGACGTCAGCAGGCACTGCGTTGAGCTGTGGTGGCTGAGCTCCGTCCACCACCGACTCTTCAGTCTTGGTTTCATCTTGTGCTGGTTGGAGTTTATTCGTCTCGTGTTTGGCTGTAACCTGTCTGGGCTTGGCGACATCTGGCAGGCTTTCCTTAGGCATGCTGAACGGACTGCTAAACCGGACCGCTTGGCTGGTTTCAAACATCTCAGATCTCTGATGGACTTGATTCGGTTTTCTGGTATCACGAATGTTAATGAACCCGATTACGTCACTTGGGGGGTCAGGCTCTGGCCAGGTGGGCAGGTATGACATCATACATGCTTTCTCTAGATTGGTGAGTCCGGGGTGGATTGGAGGATCCTGAATGGCTTCTTTACTTGCCCTCTTCTGCCTCCCCTTCTTGGTTTCTGGGTTCTTGGAGTTCTGTGGATTTTCGGTCTCTTTGGGGCCAGCAGTAGGGGTGGGGCTGGGGTTGGCTAAACCCAACATGGCATATTTGGGGCTGTACAGTTTCCGAGCCATATCGGCAGAAGTGGTCACCGGGGCCGGCTGTGGGAGGGGCTCCACTTCAGGTTCGGTCTCAGTGGCGACCTGCCGGAGGTCAACCGAGCTGGAAGTTGCGTAGAGGACGCAGAACAGCCTGTCGAAGGCCTCCACTGCCTGGCCCGTCACCACCGTGATGAGATTTTTGTCCAGCCGCGATGAAGTCCAGGTGAAGCTACAGAACATGCAGCAAAAAGTTAGACTACTTTAAAGTACAGCAAGACATGACAAAATAAACACCTCTTATACTGCGTACGTGTACAGTATGTCGGTAAGATGTCAGTAAGTTAAACGGCAATTATTATTTATTAAGTAATTTAATCGCATCTCACAGAAACAAAGACAGGTGGAGCACATGGAGATAACCTGTTTCTCTCACCGTCACTGTCTTTCTCACTTTCTCACACTCTCCAACTGACACACTCACACACACACACACACACACACACACACACACATAAAAGTGCACTGACCTGTATGATCCAGACACAGCTTTGTCTCCATCGATGAACATGAATCTGTGTCCCATTTGCCCTCTGACCTTTGTGCAGGACCGGGTGTAGAACTCTGCTCCATCCGTGCAGCGGACACGGAGGTTCTGTAACGCGCACACACATACACACACACACACACACACACACACACACACACACAAAGAGGATAGATGTCATATCTCCTCTAGATTCAAAGCTAACTTTATAACATGAGATCTGTGTGACGTAAAGCTGCAAAACAACGACAGCGATGACTTTCATGTTACATTGTGGCATTCTTTATTTTAAGTTAAGAAGAGAAGAAAATTAACTGGAAAGTGTCGAGCATACAATGAACAAAAGTTATTTTCATGATTTTATGAGGTGACCTTATCTCCCGTTTTGAATATCTATTGGCTGATTGACAGCCAGGTTATATGTAAATACAATACAAAAGAACAGGTGTAATCCACAGACCTGTGTATGGTCTTACCAGCACCATCCTCTCACTACTGTAATGTGATTAAAGCATAATCACAATAACATCAGGAAAGCACCGTATGCAAGACAAGTGTCTCTATTATCACATCTAACCGTATAAATTAGAAGTTTAAACTAACTGTAGTGTTTACAGGCCACACAGTGGTTTTAAATAAAGACATACATGGACAATATGACCAGTCATGTACTGCGTCCTGCCCTTTAATTTAAGCAAATAATTACACCGATGTAAATACTGTAATTAAATCTTACACCATGGTAATTACCATGATTTAATCTCTGTCTTGTCTTCACTCGATTGGAGTGCTGCATCTGACACCATGGACCTCACCACTATCTTGACCAACTTTAGTCTTTCTTGGGACTTGCCTGCTTTGCTCATCTCTGTCTGAAAAGCAATACTTCTGGCTTCCCTCAGATTAAAATCTGGCGTCCCACAGGGCTCAGTTCTCTGTCCTCTGTCGATCTAAGATGTTTCCTGCACTTCTTGAATGTTGTTTTGTTGTTTAGCTCAGCCAGATGAGGTTGCTTTTTAACATTAACAACACAATGTCATCGTTATACAGTTAAGTAGTTTGGTGTGTATGCTTTTTTTTTGTCACATTGTGGACATGTAAACACAGGTACTGTGACAGGCCGACAGGTGTGACCGTATCGTCAATGAGGGCTAACGTTCATGATAATAAATGGGTGGTACAGTATGTGCTGCTGCAGTCATAAAAGACTGTAACAACAGTTCAGATAAGCGGTTACACATGAAAGGAACCTCCAGCTAAATCATTTCATCAAGTGTTTCTCTCACTGTGACTCACTTCCTTTCTTTGTTTCTTCTGTCCTCCCTACTTTCTTTCTTTAGGACAGACATGCTGACCAACATCTGTACTGAAGGAATCTCAAAAAATATTAAAACTACATCCTAAGTTATGTAGAGGCATATGCAGCCCTTTTCTAATTGCAGCTTATATTTCCACTGTTTGACCAACATGGTATTTGAGTGTTGAGGTGGTCCTTGTAAACGTGGACACAGAAACACCAAATTTAAATATGGTGTTACATTTGTCAATGACATCACAATCTGTCCAACTAAATATAATTTTTGTTGCCCAGAATTACTGTGATTCCAAAAATATGGCAAAGAGCTAGAAAGTGAAATGCAAAGTCACAGCTTCAGCGAGAGAGAGTTGTCTGTCTGACTCATTTGTTAGTCGATGTTCAGCTCTTCGGCTGATTGACTTTTACTTAACAGACACTACTTTAGTTGTCATGAGTTTAGATTTAGGACCTTGGGTCCTCAGAGAGACTTCAAAGTCTGTCTGTGGGACCAACTCCTGCACTTGCACGCAGCCAGAGAAATGATGGAACCAGCAGAAGATTCCTGGCGTGGCTTGGGTGTGGCTTGTCTCACAGTAGAAACACTTGTTTTCCTTCCTCCTTTGGCCCCACCCTGAACTTTCCCTCAGAACATTCCTTTTGCTAACTGGTTTCATAAAATGAGCAGATTGCATTTCTCTCTGTTGGTATTCAGCTCCAAACCGTAGAAGAGTGTTTCCCAACGTTTTATATGTGACAAACCATCGCGACCCAATTAGTAATGAATCACGATAAATGACCGAACCTTCTTTACTGACACTTCCACATCACTTTATCTTATCTTGAATGCGTAAACAATGTATTTCTTTGATAAATCACAACTCTGATTTATACATACACACGTGTTAAATACTTTATAAATGAGAACAAAGGCAAACAGACTCTTGTTTTTTCCTATCATCGGTAAAGCAAACAGAATGTACGCTAGCCTTTTCATATTAGATCCACTGTTATAAGGCGGCTACAGTTATCAGTGCAATATGAACATAAATGTTCAATAAAAGCCCACGGAAGATATTCTGCTAATTTATTTGGCGACCCTGATAAAATCTCTAGCGACCAACCTGAGGGTCCCGACCCAGTCTTTGGGAATGACTTGTGTAGATGATGAAGCTGTCCTTGATAGGATTAAATGTGAAAATACTGTCACTGTTACATTGTTAAAATGTCCAGAAACCCCCTCAGACGACTGATGAGTGAGAAGAATCCGACACCTCTTTGCTTCCGTACTCCTCCGCTCCTCCTCCCATCCCGTCCATCCACTCCTCAAGCTGTCACATCTGTCCTCTACCCTTCCTGCCAGTCATCATGTCGCTCAGACTGGCAGTTTGTGTTGCGTTAGCTGCTCATCACTGTTCCTGGTCATGGTTGCCACTCGTACAGCTGTAGCCTGAATCGAATAGTCTGTAACGCCACAGAGTAACTGAGGTGATTCTGTCAGAGACGTACATTGAAGGATACAGGACCACTTTAAGGGCAGATCCCAGCAGAGACACAGTATATAACCCAGATACGGACACATAAAATACTTGTGCCAGCTGTCAAACACACCTCACTAAGCTCCTTTACAAACACTCAATCTGTTTAGGACTCAGCGTTGGGTGCCAGTGAACCATACAGAAAGAGAAAGTTAGCCATCTGGCTCCATTAACGATATTTGCTCTGACAACGAGCGTCAACATGTGCTGCCAGCCGAGTCGGTTCGGGTTAAAATAACAATCGCTTTGCATGTATTTCTGCAACATTTCCCCGGCGTGCCAGGCCTGACCGGTTTCTATTCTATGAAATAGAAAAGCGTTCAAGGGGAGCTGTGACGCGGGCTCATTTAAATGGAGGGCTCGAGGCTCAGTGTGCACCGTGCTGCTGTATTACTGTCTGGTTTGCACATTGCACTCGGATTTTGGGCCAAAAACGTGACATCCCTAGAGAATAATTCAAAACAACAAAATGCTACATGTTTCAAAAAGCAAGCTGTTGCCATGAGATTAAAAAACCGGTTGGAAATCCAGCTGAGCTAAAACAACCTCCACGGTCATATGTTTATAAAGTACTATCTGCCACACGGGACAGATAACGTGTTTATAAGCATGAGACGACGTGAACATTTCATGTCACCATCATCCTGGCCAAAAATAGATCTGTATATCTGCAGGATATGTATGTGTGAGATTCAATATGTCTGTCCACACATGCATAATATGCTTTTGTGTTGCATGTGTGTGTTCTCTTGCGGTCTCCTGAACACAGCTTTCTGCATCTTCAGTGTTTCACTTCGATCTGCAAAATACTGATCTAAAGCACCGTACACCTCGTATCACTTGGAACATAATTAGCTTAGCACATTGGGAGCCTTTGTGGAAATGTATCCAGCCCCGCTTCTACTGTATGTTGGAATATCTAAACGATCCCCCTGTAGAACGGAGGAGCAACGCAGCAGCACTGAGGCAAGCAAGTAAAAAAGTCTTGACTCCTATCAAGCAGATACTGCGCTGTTAGGTGTAACCATTAAAGGCCTATCATTCAGAGATAATCTGATAAGTTGACCGCTTGATGGAAAGATTTATGTCTCAAGAAAACAATTCACTGAAAAGAGTTCCTTGTTCCCTGTAACTTACTTCTACGTGTTGCAGCATGACGAACACGTGTTTTGTGGCGTGTGTTTTTCACGTGAATCTGCCAATTAAAAACAAACAAAGTAGACCGCAAAGCAAAAGATTAATCGATGATACAGCTCCGGCTGAGAGGGATGGCTGCTTGTTATTTAAGCTCCGGTGGGTGTGTGGGAGAGAGGGAGAGAGGGAGAGAGGGAGAGATGGCATGTGCTTTCACTTATCCATGCATAACGAAAACCTCTTGACTTCAATTCCTCGTCTTTCTGTCAAAATATAACTTGCTGTTGTTGTGTTCAACGGCGCCTTACAGATGTATTTCAGTCTGAAAGGGAGATTTGTGAACATCTGGAAATCCCCTAATGCTATCAGGTCAAAGAGTCACTCTATTAGTGAAACATTTACTCTCCACACGGTCACATCTCAATTCTTACAAAATGAATAATGAACTTTTGCTTTTTGTCAGCTTCTGGTTATCGAGGCATTCTGTCCAACATTGTGGTCTGGAGCAAAATATGACGGGATCGCTGTGGAATTTGGGTATGCTCCCTTTCCACTTAAAAATATGAATTAATATCTAATTAGAAAATGACAATTGATTTTACTGAGCACATATTGACTCCACAGATGCATAATTGGTGGATTTGACTTCCCTCGGCTCTCGCTCGTTGGTGCTAAGACGTCAGTGCGCCGACTCACCTTGAGGTGCCCGGCATGCATGTTGGCCCTCTGACACATGGACTGGAAGTGAGGTAGAGTTGTGCGTTCCAACAGGATGTAGACGGAAACCTTCCTCTTGAAACCGGCATCCAGCAAATCTCTGAAGATGTCGACATCGGTGAACACATCCATCACCACTGCTATTACCTGGAGACACACACACACAGCCTACATCACACACACACACGCGGGACATACTCATGCATGCATGCATAGTTTCTGCATGTATGTAGGGAAATTCATGCACTTTAACACAACTCTGTGGATCAGGCCTCAGGCGTTGAAACGTTAGTGTTTACACTTTTCTGCCAAAACAAATACGATTCAAGTTGCTCCACAGGTTTGAGTAAAATATGATCTGACAAGTTTTCCTTTGCACAAGAAAATTGTGAAGCTAATAATAAAGGGAAGTTATGCATTTTCTCCGAGCTTATACCACCCATATATCCTTCAGGAAGATGCCCACAGGATCCGTCATGTAACTCACGCCACTGAGAAACAAAACGCCTCACAGGACCTTCGTGTGAGTCAGCTCATGAGCAGACAGAAGCACACATATACATGCAGCCCGGCCGTAAAAGCACACAATCATGCAAATGTCCAACATAACAGACGCTCTCCCGTGTTGCAGCGTGCAGCACTTCTTTTAGCCGCTGATAAAGCAGCTTAATCAAGTTGCACTTTACTGTCGATCGTCTCATTTGGTCATCTGTCTGTACTCTGACCTCACACTGACTGAGAGCCGGCAACGTTTATGTGAACGCTGCAGTTGATCCTTTGAATGGGTACAGCAGGTCAGACAGACGGCTGGAGACCGACAGCCAGACATCCACCGATGCATGAGCGACACAGGAGAAGAGATACACAGAGGTGTAAAGATGAATACTGACTATAGGTCTAATACCAACCAGTATCACCAGCTCCGGAATATATGGATATTATATGTATGCATATTGTCAAATCAGACTAGTGTCTTTTCCTGGTTTTAAAGGCTGCATTTCAGTAAATGTATGTCGTTTCTGAACTTTTATTTCACTATTATTTCCCCATACATACTGAGTCATTATATCCACAATACTGATGAATATTTATCAAAAAATCTCACTGAGTAAATACCTTGTTAAAGCACCAATAGTCAACCCTACAATAACGCGATAGATGTTGTGGTATTAGATTGTCTCCATATCGTCCAGCACTAATAACGAGTATTTCCAATAATGCATAAAACCCTCCACCTCTTGTATTTTACATATTTTATTTGAGGTTATTTTATTTAAAATAACGTTATAGATGTCTAATTTGATTTCAAAGTGAAAAAAGGGTTTAAAGGCTAAAATACCTTAAAACCACAGACTATATAAGAACCCATTCTGGCCCAACATACCTTTTGCGCCTGCGCAATCATTTTCCTGACAACCTCTTTGATGTGCACCTGACCCTCCAGAGGCGGCTGCGTGTACACGCTCGTGCGCGTCACCCCACGGTAAGAGATGTTGTCCAGCCAGCACAGGTCCATCTGCGGGACGGACGTGTCCGACAGCTCGGGCCAGTAGTGCAGCGACAGCGGCGGCTCGTCTTCCTCGGCATTCTCCGGGAAAAAGAGCTCCGAGCCCGGGTCGTAGGGCTCCACCGCCTCGGCGAGGGTTTCCAACTCCGGGTCCGAGAGGAAGCCGCGCAGGCTGTGAGCGCCCAGGTACTTCACAAACTCCTCGCGACCGTCCCGCAGGAACGCCTCTAGCGCGAGCCGCTGGTTTTCGCAGTACAGGAACTCCGGTTTGGACTCGTGCGTCCGCGGGTTCACGTGGTTATCGTCCAGGCACTGGAGCTGGGACAGAGCCATGTCTCGGGCTACCAAAGAAAACACAACACTAAACTTTACAAATCCGCTAAAGGTGTCAGGGCTCCGCTCCTAAACGTCTCCACACTTTGGGGAGAAAAAGCTGCCTAAAAGTGCTCCTCTGGGGTTCAAACAGCTGTTCAGTTTAGCTCCAAACTTGTTGCACATAAACTTCATGTCGTCTCCTACGTCGGTCTGCCTTGGAAGTCCTGTGACCGGCCATGGTGCATCAACACTCAGCCATTCTTCCCAGGTTCCAAAGCCTCCCAACTTAGCCGGCAGAGAGAGAGAGAGTGAGAGTGAGAGACTGACACCCTGCTGGAGGCACCGCCCGACAGGTGTAAGCCAGACAGGCACACACACACACACACACACACACACACACACACACACACACAGAAACATGCGCACCTTTGTCACGTGACCTGTACGGTTTTCTGTTGGAAAGTGTGTGTAAGTGTGTGTGTGTGTAGGGATAAAATACTTTGAGTAAGTATTGAGGCAATCCCTGCATTTGTCATGAACCGCATTAAATCATTAAGCTGTCAGTTTCACATCATGATGAGACATCGCCTGAAAAAAACAGAGCTGAGCCATTTCGTTTTACCTGTTCTGTCATGTTCACTGCTGCCAGGACGGGAGAGCCCAAAAAATGAAACGCACAATTGCTTAATTTAAAATAATAAAATGAAGAGATTAGGATTGGATTAATGGGATCTAAAATAAATAAACTGGAGGTAACAGAGCATGTATGTTTTATTTTCTTAAAAGTAAGACCAGTGTCGTAAACCCAAATCTTCATGTTCACATACACTGGGCACCATAGCTGACCTTTGAACTCTTTAGTATTAGTCTGATGTTCTGTGGGAACCAGGCGGCAACCTCTGGTTCTGCCGAGTGAAGCCGAGGAGGAAGTGTCTTAAAACCTGCATTATCTCTAATGACCACCAGGGGGCGACTCCTCTGGTTGTATAGAAGTCTATGAGAAAATGACTCTACTTCTCTCTTGATTTATTACCTCAGTAAACATTGTAAACATGAGTTTATGGTCTCAATCTCTAGTTTCAAGTCTTCTTCAATACAGCATGATGTTCATTTAGTACATTATGGTCCATTTAGAGTCAAACAGACCATAAAGCAGGGTATGCTGTAGGGCGGGGCTACCTTATGATTGACAGGTCGTTGCTGCTACCAGAGACATATACGACGTCTCTACGTCTTCTCCGCATTCCAAATATGGTCACATCTATTCATTAGTTGCGAAAAAAACAACAACATGGCGACAGCCTTAATCCAAGATGGCAATGCCGAACTCAAGGCTTCGTAACATCAGTCCACAAACCACTGGGTGACTTCACGACGTCTGCGTCCAATTCTTACACAGTCTGTGGTTAGAACCGAGGAACGTTTCTCAAACGAGCTTCAACTAAAAATCCCCAGACTTGAAAATAGTAAGAAGGTACACAGAAACATTTACACAACCCTTCACAATAGAAGACACGTCTTCTCAAGAATCAAACACACAGCCTCAAGGTCAGAAGACATCTTTTAACATGAACTTGATTATCAGCTAATTACAGTCACACGACGCAGCCTGCATTGATCCCTGCAGGTTACGTGTGATGTAATTACATCCCATCATAACTGAGATGCTCCATAAACCAGTGAGGGGAAAAGAGACGTCCTGCTCTAATCCAGGTTCTCAGGAAAAATTCCAACTTTATCTCCCACTATAGCTAACTTTTTCTTTTCAACTCTCTTTCTTCTCATATTATGACTTGATTCCTGGCTCCGCTAGTCCATTAGTCCATGTCGATGTGTCCACTGAACCCCAAATAGCTCCCGTAAGCTGTGCCTGCGGTGAATCAATGGGTGTGAATGTTAGTTAGTTGTGATGGGCAGGTTGTACCCTGCCATCACAGATGTAAGATGAATGGGTGAATAATGGGTTAAAGCGCTTCGAGTTTGTTTTGCTGTTGCTGGGCATTAGTACGCTGTTAAAAGACATTTTAGTGACGATTGCAAGTGACCAATAAATGTCTCGTGATTTTTCGAAATCCACTATTTGATCCAATTTTGCTATTTTGAGACCCAAATTTAGCTAGTGAGGCTTTCAGGGGTTCTCAAGTGTCCATCGAGACCTCTTTGGATGTGGAAAACATTGGACGAGTGGTCGGACCTTCTGGTAAATGTTTGTCGCACAGACAGAAGAAACAGAACGATGCTGACTCGTCTAGTTGTTTAGTTTGGCTGCAAAAGTGTAAATTCTACAATTTACCCACCTAGATATTACGCAAACTGGCCTTTTGTGTTTTTTCTCAACACTAACTTCTTAAGTCAGTAGCTGCACACCAGAGCGATTAAACACGTGAAACAGGTTGTGTCCAGTCGCAGGCACCTTTCTTTTCAGACCTGACGAGTAGAGGGTGGAGTGAAGGGACATGTCTTCATTCGGGCCTCCTGTGATGGGCAGCGTTACTTGAGGCACCCTTAAATATTTAAACCCTCCTCTCTGTCTTGCCGTCGCCGCTGATCCCATGTTTAGTAAACTGGTGGATGAATCACATGCTGGTATCTCGCTGACTCATCGGCAGCGCCTCATCTGTTGATATATTGTGTGGTTGATTTGGGAGAACGGGACTAATTATTCGATGAAGCGATGGACTGGTTTACGGGCCGATCGTTTCCCTGTAAGGGCCTCAACAGGCAGAGGCCGTCAGTCAGTCAGTTAAACTGGTTCATCTGATTCTGCTGTATTTGTGTCCGACGCCTTTGAATATCATCGATGTCACCCCCCCCCTCGCTTGCTCTGTGACTGTCACTTTCATTCGCATGGTGACACCCTGCCCTCCATTTTTCATTTGTATCATCGGCTTCTTCCTCTCTGTTTTTCACCTTTTAACATTTCATCATCTCCATATCTTGTCTCGTTTCGCTGCTGTCTCCGGCTCACGTTCTTTCTCTCATCTCTTACTTTCCACTTATTTTTTTTTCCTTTAGTGACAGACGTTTAGCGTACTTATGTTGTCTCACTTCCAGTGTATGACACAAATATGTCACAGTGAATGTGTGTCTGTATCACGCAGCACGAACACTTCAAAGTGACAGCAGTTTTCTTAGAAAACAAGCATTTGGTTAGTATTTCTGGTGCACCTCTAACGCCTTTCTTCTCCTCCTCTGCTGGATGCCGCTGCTTTATTGACTGACTGTCATTGACGAGTCAGAGGCGACTCTGACAGCGAGGATAAAAGGAGTGGTTTGTTTAAAAAAACAAAAGAGTGAAAGAAAAGAGAACAGGTGATTCAGACCAGAGGATTTATGGGATGTGACCCAGTTTCCTGCTTCATTTCAGACGTTACATCCTGCTGAGAGGCAGCGCTGCATTCCTCTCATAGCACCAGTGGACTGTCGGAGCACACTCAGCCGACATTGTGTCATCGATGCTGTTCAGACACGCACGCATCAACGCGCTGACGCAATACCTTTGGTTGACGAGCAGAATGGCATGCCAAAGAGATCTCTCCATAAGACACCATGACATTTATAATCAGGTTGTCACACACTAAGTAGAATATCATTACTGTGTCGATAAAGTAACATAGTATTAAATTGACTTCAGCGACAGTTTGTGTAAAGCTGTAATCACTATTTTTATTTATTTATGGTTTAGTCTGTAATATAGAAAACAGAAAAGCACAAGTTCCTGGAGCCCAAACTGCAAATTGCGAATAATGAGTTTATGGTTCTTCAATACAGCATGATGTTCATTTAGCAAATCATGGTCCATTTAGAGTCAAACAGACCATAAAGTATGCTGATTCCAAATATGGTAACTTACATATATTGGTTGCGAAAAAACAACATGGCGACATCTGTAATCCAAGATGGCGACGGCGAAATCGCCGAACTCGAGGCTTCATAACGTCAGTGCACAAACCAATGAGTGACGTCACAGTGACCTCGTCCACTTCCTGTTTACTTTCCACGCCTTGAATGCACAAAATACGTAGAATTCATTCTGCTTGATTAACTATTTGTGGCACAAAATGTGAAAGATCATAGAAAATGTCTTGAAATAGCATTTTACACATTCAATGAAAAGGTTGTTTGTGCTTTAAATTTCATTCTGTGACAATGAATGTTTCACAAAGTGCAAATCTGCAACTTTTTGGCAGACACAGAGGAACAGTGACCTTAATTTGAAATGTAGGAATACAATGGACTCACTGTATATCTGACATACAGAGAGGCTCACTCTTAAACATAAAACCCACCTTTGTTTCAGTGACTACGTCTACATGCACACTCGTGTTATTCATGTTATTTTGTGTACTCTCGTATATTCGTGTTACATTTCAACAGACAAATACTAAGCAAAGATGTGAATAATGTGAAAGAGGTAAATGCATCACTTTATTTAAACGATTGGTCGTTACACGTTGAGGAAGACTGGTCCAAGCTCTTACCGTAGATCACATCAGATGTGGCTTTCTTAGACTATTTGTTGCAACAGGAACAAAACCTTTTTACAATGTTGTATCTTACTTGTAATATATGTATTGTAGGATTACACATGAATAAGAATAAATACATGGAAACAAACAAACAAACAAATGATTCATAAATTCAGTTGAGGATATTAAGCTGTGTATTTTAAAACAAAGTTCATCTCACTGGTCACTTTAACACAGTGATCTCCTTTACTGGTCCACAGAGCACGAGGCTGCACACACACAGACACACACACACACACACACACATGCATTCAGATTCCTTTAGCACACAAATACACATACATAAAGTTTGCAGGTTTACATGTGTTCAGACCCACCTTTTACACACAAACCACCTCTACACACACACACACACACACACACACACCCGCTCACGGCGAGAGAGGAATCTGCTGTGTCAACACAATGACTCTCTGTGTCTCTCAGCTCAGCGGATCTCTTCGCGGAAGCGGCGGCAAAATCCTTAAATCGCCTTCAGCGGAGAACACATCCGCGACATCCTCCCGTGGGCCACACACTGTCCAGTGTGTGTGTGTTGCTTTTATTTAGCCTGCACCGGTGCTGATGGACTCTAATAAATGAGTGTGCCTGGCAATGTGTGTGTAGGTTTGAGTTCTCCACAGTGTGTAGGTCCATATCTTCACTTTAGTTTATGTGTTACATGATTAAAGAGAAAGTGGAGTTGTGGGATCAGGTGGAAGCGATTGACTTGTCTTCAGCAGCTGATTGGACAAGGCTTGTGATTGACAGGTGACATCACGAGGGATAATGGGAGGAGTCAGTTACATAATGAGCAGTTCGGTTGCGGCTCGTCAGTTCTCCAAAAGTGAATGGGCGAGTGCACAGCAGGGGAGCAGTGTGAGGGGGGGGGGGTCAAGGTGGCTCATTGACGAGCCAGTGGGCGTGGCCGTGTGTCTGAGTGACAGGTCATTGGCAGTGGTAAATGGGCTGGACGTACTCGGGGGGGAAGTAGCCCACGTGTCCGTGGCAGCGGCCCTTCCAGTGCAGCGAATCGGAGCAGTCCATGAGCTCGATGACATCACCGCGCAGGAAGCGTAGCTGGGATGGATGGTGGGGGGCGAAGTCGAAGAGAGCGTGGGCATGATGGGGACGCTGTGGAGGGGGAGGGGTGGGGGGGGGGGGGGGAGAGAGAAAGTTAATGAAAACTTTGCTTCACAACTTTCTACACAGTCCATGTTATAACAGCCGAACGGTCATGAGAGAGAAACAGAGAGTAATAAGTCCAGAATGATATGAGTGAGACAACAACGCACCTTTACACACACACACACACACACACACACACACACACACACACACACACACACACACACACACACACACACACACAGACTAAACACAGCACTCTGTATGAAGTGTGGTGTTTTACGGCGATTCATTGCAGGGTGAACTGCTTCCAACTCGACCGGCAGATGCTCTGCTTTTCTCTGCCTCTCTGTGTTTTTCTTTGCGTTCACTAAAGTAGAGTCTTTCTCCTCCCCTGATAGCCGGCCTCCTCTGATCTCTGTTGACTCGTGAAGCAACAGCAGTTTAAGAGTAGCAGAATAAAAGCGGATATTTTAAGGAGAGCGTATTGAACTTAACTAACCTCTCAGCTGTCAGCTGCACTCCCACAGAGAAAAGTGGAAGAGATATGAACGGGGACTGAGAGCAATATTGTATTTTTTTGTTGTGTGTGTGTGTGTGTGTGTGTGCGTAGGTATCTATGTTGCAATTCTGGGCTTTATTGCCGTGGACTGCTTTGTCTTAGAGGCGCAATATAAGGGCGTCCAGTCACACACACACTAACCAGACAGCAGGATTAACAGCATGAGACACAGACACAATGTATAAATCCCACAAATCTATGAAATCCTCACAGACTTATCCTTTATTGTTCTGCTGATCGAGTCTAGACTTCTTGTTTGTCCCTGTGCACCCTCTTCCTCTGTACTTGGATGCTGAGAGTATGTGAGTGCAGGCCTCTATTTGCTCCGGTGTGTGTGTGTGTGTGTGTGTGTGTGTGTGACAGCACTGGGGAAAACCCATTCATTTTTCCATGCTCGTGAGGAGCGGCGGGTTTGGGAGGAGAAATACGGTCCGCTGCCTTGTGATCAGCGTCCTCGTCAGCGGCTGCTGACAGGGGAACAAATGACTCTGTAACACCGATGGACTACAGCTTTGTAGTAGATCTGTCTCTGCACACACACAAACAAGGTCTATAAGGCCTGTCGCACTGCCTCTGTTTCCAAATGACAAGGTGTCAAAAAGAGGTTAAAGTTTAGCATGTACAGACTATATATATATATATATTTATATATACTGTATCTATATCTATATATATATATATATATATAAACTAGACCAACCGCACCATAAGAGGAACACAACAAGATTCATGGACTCAGATTAAGTTTTTAAGTTTGTCTCTTTGAAACTGACCCATATAGTCAAAAACTAAAATAAACTGTGTTTATTTAAATGTGTCATATAATATCTTTGTGAAACATTCACAGCACACGGGTTGAAGTCAAGATAGTTTCTCTGTAACCCTTCATTATTGTTATTATTATTCATTTAATAATCTGAAGGTCTGAAGGGAGCCATGCAAGAAGTTTTTCCGAGTTGTTCTGTAGTGTCACTGCCTGACTCTTGTGTGAAGCGGAGATGAAGTGGTGTGCTTGTAACTGAAGAAATGGGCGTACTGTTAATATTTTAGATAGTCGTAGAGCATTCACTGCAAGGCTGCAAAGTCACGGAATTTAGGAACGTACGAGGCGAGAAAAGGTTATATGCATTTAGAAAATAAAGTCCTGTTATTTCTCTGGCGTCATAATTTGTGTAAGTGAAACATAATGGAGTTCAGTGAGAGACCTTCATGACGAAGCCCCACTGATACAAAGACCAGCTGACCATGACTTTATATAAAATGACAGTTTGGATCCAAGCTAAATATACTGTTTTTAATCTGCAGACATACCTACAGCGGAATAAAGACCTGTTGAAACACATTCAGGTGAAATTAAAAAGACAAATTATTTCATTAAAGATCTAGATTAGTCTCAGATTGTGACATCATCATATAGAGCTTTGCCTTTGCTAAATCATTCTTTATTTGTGTTGTTAAAATAGACTTGATTTACCCCTTAAAACGTATTAACACAGTTGCAGAGTGAACGAGGCTACAGATATAAAGGTATGACTAAGATGAGATGTGATGTGGAAAGACAGATGTATTTTAAGGCTACAAAGCCGTGCAGGTAAACTTGGCGCCCTCAGCTATGGGGCTCGTTGTGATGCAGATGCACTTCACCTCGAGGCCGTGACCGAGCAGCACGCTGACCTACAAGTACAGGAAAAGTCACAGCCTGTAAGCTAATGTTGGAATATCTATAGAGCCAAATCCAGATTATAAGATTTGCAACCCAACAATGGACATTCGGTGCAGTTTTTAAGACTGCACAATCATGTACGCACACGAGGCCAACTTGGCACGCAACCCATATTAGATTTCTAAATGAATATAGAAGAGCAAGAGGACCTTTGACCACATCATGCAGACCTGAGGCAGAGTAACATAGAATGTAAATCGCTCTGATGGACCTGAAACATGCATGTTCCTGATGTAACATCTTTATTTCTGAGCTGAGGTAAATTCCATTTCATGATATGAAGAGAGTTGTTTTGATGTGGGACCTGTCACATCACAGGATGATGGGATGAATACCATGAACCACAAAAGGAAAATAATCTGCTACAAAAGATGCGCCCTTACGCTGAGTAGCAGTGCAGTAATTCATTTTGTCAGGAGTCTAATATGGAAATAATTTCGCTGAGGAGACGTCAATGGACATGTCACTGACGCTCTACATGTTTTGTTTTCATTCTCACACCACTTTGTTACCGACTGCAAAGCATTAAAGCACATTTAGAGCAGTTATTCCAGCATCTTATGCGTTGGGTGTTATTACTATAATGGAGCGATTAGATGCAGACTTGTGAGAACACAGAAAGAGCAGCTGTGAGGATGTGGGTGGGCTGCTGAGTACCGCTACAGAGGAACACCAGACGTTGAGATATGGTGTGAAGAGACACCAGTGACCGCTGATACCTGGTAATTCATCGAGAGTGCCAGGGTTAACTTACTAACTTGGTGCGGCATCACATTAAAATGTAATCGAGAGAATAAATGAAGTATAAAACAGCAATGAAATTAACAAGCACAAACATTCTGCCGTGGTCTTAAATCTGCTTTATAACAGCAATAAACAGGAAAAGAGTGCAACATCTGTCTGACTTCTCTTTCCCGTATTCACACTTCTTACAAGTGTTACAATTTTTACTTCATCAGAAATCATAGCAGAGCAATAGATCCAGTGTTAGTAGTGGAGTGGATGATTTGGATGGATTAGCATTGTGAGCAGTTGTTGTTATAATGCTGTTATTACTGTACGCGCAGGTCATGACACCAGCTTCTCAGTGGAGAACAGAAGACAGATGTTGGTTGTGCACCAACAGAAGCTACTGTATGAATATTTAAAAACTCAAAATGCTGAGAAAGAGCTACTGTATTTTAGCTGCTCACATTAAAGAGATTCAGACTGCGACAGTATTTAGGTCGCACAGATTTTCATCCTCCCGTAGGACCGCCGTCGTTATCTCCCGTTTAACTGCCATCACAACGCCCCGAAGCTAAATTGTTAAACCGCACCTGCTCCAGCTGCATTTGTGCATGAAACTGTTTAGGTGTGAGGCCGGATGTTACCAAACAAGAACCCAAAGCGAGGAGCTGCTTGGTGAAAGAACCTGTCGTCCTCATCTGAAAGTCTCCTGCTCCGCCAGGTGAATTACTGCAGCAGTCTGGCTGCTCAGCGAACCGTCTCCAAATAAATCGCGATTATGAGAAAAAGACCAGGCCTTCATTTTATTGCAATAACCCCAGGTTTCAAAATAGTTTTTTTTTGTTTTTGAAAAATGAGTTGGTCGAGACGACCAAATCCTGCTGACTTATCCGCCACACTTCACTCCAGCACACTTATACAACAGCAAGCATACGAAGAGAGGGGTGAGACGGAGCAGACTCATTGAAGTAAAGCTCACACATCACAGAGATCAATAAATGTGGATCATCTTCTAAAGAGCATACCATTCAGTACAGGCTCAACACATTTAAGGTTTTCAGATTTCCTAAAGCTTGCGCTGATGATGTGGCCGTGAAAATATTGAAACTATATTGATATTTAGCTGTTTATATATATATATATATATACGTTATTCTTTTTAAATCATAACCCTATTGATCTATGCATTCACTCTTTTTGTATTCCATTCTTTAAAATGCACGATGTGCTGTCCACCGCCTGTTTGAAATGTTTAAAAAAGACCTTCTGGATGATGTCATAAGCACAGGAGGATGTATGTGCATGTGCGTTTCGCTGTTACTTCCTCCCTCAGTTTAGTTCTATAAAAAGCATCGACCTCTGCACTCTCTCACATCTTATCTGATCACCTCAGAAAAACCACAAAGCACCTCAGAAGCCAATGCCTCTTCACTGCTTGTTATTTACACGCAGTGCAGCGAGCTGATAGCTAAGAGCAAGGTCTGAATTTCCAGCAAAATGAACCAAAATGGTTACAAATGGACCCGATCTGCAGGATCGTGTGCAAAGACAGGTGGCAGCAAAATCTGGAAGTTGTGCTCATGTGTTTTTAGAGTTGCTTCGGGCTGATGCTTTCTGAACGAGGCTGTTAACATGCTTCTATAAACACCGGAAGCAACTTGGTAACTTTTTTTTTCTTCATTTGAAAAAGCAGCTCTGCTTTTAGAATATATGTTTCCAGCCATTTCCATGACTCCCGGGACTACTTACTGCATTGCAGTCGCTTGTTTAAAGTGATTATAAACCAAACAGATAGTCAATGGTGATACTGTATGTTAATAGATAAAGGAGTGACTTGAACTTGTCCCTCAAACAATTGAGACTGGATTTGGACTTATTGCTCAAAGACTTGGTTCTTGACTTGGACTTGTGACTTGAGACCTGAGACTTGAATTGGACAAAGTATGAAGTGTTTAAAACTTTAAAACACAAAAAAGGTCAAATATTCATAATGGTGTATTCTCAATCAATACAAGTCATCCTGATGAGGGGCATACATGTTCATACCAAATTTCAAGGCAATCCATCCAATAGTTTGTTCGGCTATTTCATTACAAACCGCAAAAATCAACCTGCACGTTCTGCGCCCCAATGAATGACGGCCTATTCTCATGTGCTTCAGAAGCGAAAAAAACATAAAACAAAACATGATGTGATGAGTATTGGCATGCGGCTTGTGTTACTGTGATGCGAACATGCTTGTCATGTCAGGATCGCTGTGGATCACATCGCTCCACGGCGAGCGGGATCGCCTGCGCCCATGCCACTCCCAGGGAGCACTTAACATGCAACGCCTTTCCCGTCTGCGTAATGACTTCACAGTAGGCCACAACAACGGCTTCTCCCCCCCGGCGACAACATCATGGAAAATACCTGTCATTTAGATTTTTATCTCACTAATCCTGACTCAAGTTTGGGATACGCCTTTGGGTAACAGGCGGTCTTTCACCTTACAAAAAAAGATGCATTGAAAACAAGATAGAGGCTGTTGTATGCTGTGCAGAATGTAAAGCCACTTGAGACGCATGTGTGATATTGAGCTGTATGAAAGAAGATGCTTTGACTTGACTTGAAAAGCTTATAAATGTTGTAGATGAGAGCAGAAACCTCAACCCGGCTCATTGGGTGTGTAAAGTACTGTGGACGAAACACAACTAACTGATATGATATGTGGCAATCATGACTTATGTCCATAAAACAAATCTGTTTTCTATGGAACTGCGGCGCTCGCTCCCTCTGGCTCAGTGCCTGGGATGACTGATTTGGTTCTGCTCCAAACCGACGGCAGTCATGTGATCTTTCATTCCAAGCTGCACCTCTACGTCAAACCCTGTGGCTACAGTCACAGACCCGCACACATTTTCCCATAGCAATGACAACAGCAACCAAAACACAACCCTGGTAGCATGTCAAAGTCAGGGAAAAGTGAAATTTAAAACACCTGGGTAGCTTGTTATGTCTGTATAAAGAAACACACACAACAGGTAGAGACAAAAATGCTGCTTCACCGTGTGGAAAAAGTCTCATCAGAGACTTTAGGAAATCTCCGGCGACTCCGATACAAGAGGGAAGATGAAGTAGACGGAGAGTGATGACGACAAGAACAGATGCGTTTTAAATAAATGGGTTCGGGAGGAGATTGACAATTGTGATTGCTTAAGAGATGCTGTGGATTTAGGTGGATTTTTTTGGGGGAAAGAGAGAGACGGAAACAGAAACACGTCATGCTGATCTGTTGTGTTGAGTGTAAAAAAACTAATTTCTCTAAATTCTAAACAGTTAAAACTTCCTCAAATTTGAAATATTTAAGGGGGAAACAACACTTGACGCTGTCTACAGAGTAATGTTCCGAAGATTAAACATTTATTCTACTATCTTAAGCTACATTTTCTAAATCAAAATCATCAATATATTCCCATTAAAAAAATGTCTTTTCTTTGTGAACCTGCATGAACCTCTCACACAGGAAGGACTTTAAACTCTGTTAAAGTACTGATTCAATTGTCTTTTGATAATATGTTTGTGCTCGTTGCTTTGGTTAAAAGGAGAGTTTGAGACAGTTGAAATGCATGAAAGAAAGACAAAAGTGTCAGACACACGGGGAGTCACGTGCTCACCCTGGCGAAGTGCTCGGGGTCTCTCAGGAAGACCGTCCTCTCCTTCGCGATGCTGCTGCTGTGGTAGAACTCCACCAGCTCGTTGAGGGAGGAGAAGACCTCCTCCCACACGTAGTACTGAGAGCAGCGGTCCTGCAGCACCTTGAAGTGCTGAACGTGGTCCCCATAACTGCAAAAAGGAACACAACGAGAAGTTAAGAATGATTTCTCATCTTAAATGAGCGTCTGTGGTGGGTTGATATGGAACTATGATTCAGTAAAAACTCCTCACCTACTGGTCCTGCTTTTAATATCTGTTTAACCGTGTAAAATGAAAAATAACTCGGTCACTGCATCAGCAATTTCCTCTCAAAATCATGTGTGCCATGTCGTGTGTGAGGAGATCTTGAGCATGCTCTTCATGCAACGTCACGATGTTCAACAACAGCGGAGACGGACAGACGGACGGACATAATCTGGTCGTCCCCGGGTCACTGCTTTTTTTTTTGCACCACAGTAAATTTGGACCGGCTTCGGGTCGATACCGACAGTCTTGGCCTTTAGTGCTCAAAGCCGCCCCTTTAACTCGCACAGCTGTCAGCTGCTGGGGCCGGCAACACACAGGAGAACAGCTTATTTCCTTTTTAAAATTTTCTTTTTACATTTGAACCTATTGCAGAAAGTCCAGAGTGAAAACCCTGAACAAAACAGATGACGAGACGACACCAGAACAGATAAAACAACACAGGAGTGGACAGATTGACTACATTTACCTGGGTTACTCTGTGAGTCTGCAAAGCAGATGATGTCGAACAAAACACCCATTTAGCTGAGAATCATCAGTCACACAGCGTAATACATTTCATGTCATATTATTGATGGATACAGGGCTGAGCTCAAAACGATAATGACACAAAGCCGGTGGCAGGAAACAAAAATAGCCCCCGTGCTGGAGTGCATGCCTCGGCGTCATGATTAAAAGCGTTTGGCCGGTATTCATTGGCAATCATACCTGCTCCCCTATCCGGCTCCGCGGTGGTTGCTAAGTAACTTGCCAGCTTATCTTTAGAAAATCTGGACACCTCGCCGTGATCACACGGTTATGTAACTGCATCCAATATGCGGCGGAAGTCAACGCAACTCCCCCATATTTCTTAACGCATCACGTCAGTAGGTGTGTGTGTAGGGCTTGTGAGTTAATGATGGTTAAAATATCATATCCTCTGTTTGGAGAAAAGAGGAGCAGTGTTCTCACTTTATTGTGACACCGTTGGTGTTAAGATGTATCAGATTCCCATAAATGACGAGCCCTTCCTTCTAGAATGAACACAATGTTACCTCGTTGAACTCCTCTATCTAGTCCGACTGGCTCCGCTCCAGACTCGGAGAGAAAGTGAATGAGCATCGGCCTGTTTTTTTGGAAGAAGAGCTCTTTTCTCTATTCAGACGTTGAGCTCTATATGAACCAGCGGGGCTGATTCCCCGATGACTGGATGGCATTCAGCTGCACCTCCACCTCCACCTCCACCCTTCTTTCTCTGCCTTTTCCAATGTTTCACCACTTCTGTGTCCTCGTTTGCCTCTTCTCGCCCTCACATAGTCTCCCCCCCCCCCATAAAAAACAACTATGAAAGTGTGATAAAGTGTAAAGGAAATAGAGGATGCTTTTTAGTTGAAAAAAATGAATTGACGCCAAATGTAAGTTGTTGTTGACACGGTGCCAGCCTTTGAACATGAACTCATTCTGTGAGAGCAGCCGTGCTATCTGTCTGTCTTTGCCTCTGGGTCTGTATTCTGTCTCTGTTATCTGACTTCTATCTAACTTTTCCCTCCCTATCTCGCTCCCTCTTGTTATCTGCTCCACTCCGTCTCCATCGCCTCTCTTGACTCGACCCCCGTCCCCCCGTCCCCCCGTCCCCCTCGTCCCCTCCACTGAGATCTTCTCTGTGAACGATCTCTATCAGCCCCCGTCACTGACGCCGTCTGCTGCGCCCTACTGGCTGGGCTTTGTTACTGCCACCAGCTGTGCAGCTGTTTGTCCAAATGTGACACAAAGCAGAGAAAAATGAAGGGGAATTTCAATTCTGTGGAGGTGGAGATTATAGACAGGATGCAGAGAGGTCAGGTGCTCTCCCTTTAGATGATCTACGACAGTGTAATGGAGAACAAAACACATCAAACACTTAGGAGGAAGGAAAAGGGAAACAAAACTTCTTTTAAGTTGTGCTGTAGCCTGTTCACCACATCTACTTTACAGTTCCTGCAACTCTTTTGTTGTACTGAAATTAACCTGAAACATGTCGTTTTTGTATATTTTAAAGTATAACAAATGTCCAAGTGTAACAAAACAAGCCCAGCTTATATTTATACTTATGTGTTTACCAGGGGGTTAGCCCTGATAGATAGATATTTCCAAATCATCCAGTTAACATAATGCATGCAACCACAAACTCTGCTATGAGAACTCTAATTTCACTCAATGTGCGATGCGATAAAGATGACAGAGAAAATTTGTACGAGTTGGTTTTCACACGGTGCAAAAAAGGAAAGTTTCTCCATAAAATGGACAGATCTCTAACAAACTAATACCAGTAAATAGGAACACCATTGAAACTCTGCACAGGCTACCATTACTTCAGACTGGCAGCTAGAGGTGTTACTGTATTATACGAAACACAATATAACAAAAAAGACGTATAACGTGTCTTAAAATCTATGCGAACATTTTATAAGAGATACTGTAATGATAGTGAATCTGTGGGTACCTGTCTGTTAAAGAGTAACTCGACCCTCAAGCCATATTTTTCAGCTGAAAACTGACATATATGGATATTTAGAACCGTTGTTAATGGATTCAGGTCCACATTTTAGTGCAAATTATTTCAATTCTACACATTGTGTCAAGAATATGCAAAGCAGCTGCCCTGTTGGTCTTGTAAACAAGCTTAGACCACATTTTTTACGTTTAGCTAACATGCATCATTCAGGATAAGAAGTTACTTTGTTGAATAGTCTCCCCGTTCCTGCGAGGTCTAACATTAGTTTGGCACATGTTGGGCAGGTGAGCATTAGACCCCTGACGGCTCTCCATTAAATAGTTAGCTAGCAAACAGCTACATGCTTAAGTTAGCAGTTAGTCTAAGTTAGTCGGAAACGTAACGCCAGAATTCTGTGGTTTAGTTGCTCTTTAAACATTGTTTTAAGACAGGAGACAAAAAATGCAATCCAAAATGTGTAATCCTGAACCTTGCATATCAGTTCTGCATGTAGTGTCAACAGTAAAAAAAACTTTGACAAAATGTCCTGTAGTGTCTCTGCACAGCTGACCAGAATCGCTTCAAATATTCATTGAGCAACATTTAAACTACAACATCACATCTTCACGCTCAATTTGCCCTGCATTGCAAAACACTACCCCACCTCTGCACCACTCGAGTAAACTAATGCACTTTGATATTTAGACGCGGGGAAATGGTAGAAAACACCTGAGTACTGCTACTGTCTGAGCCTCATCACACTGAACACCTTCTCAGGCGGGGATAAAATACAACACATTCACAGTATCTAGACCATGAATCACCTACACGCTGTTATCAGGTCACATGAACAATGGAAAGACAGCAGTTCAACGTTGATGTTTTTGTCACGTAATTTGCGTATTCACTAACGGCACACCCGTAGTTAATTAAACCCAAACTACGATCTTTTCTTCAACCTATGTTGCCCTGACCTTACTAAGTATTTCACGATGTATTCCTAAATCTAAACTAAACTAAGCGAAAATGAGGAGTAACTTTTCGTAGGATATCATATGAGAATACATTTATACTGTACTGTACCTACTATAAGTGGGCAAGAGATGAAACTGCACCAACACACGTATGACGAACGCCTCGAATATGACAGCTAGCAGCAGTAGCATGAAAATAGCAATATGGAATGGGGGCACTTATTTTGATAATCGCCAGATAATCAGTCATTAACACAGATTCAGATTATTAGTCCTGAACGGCTGGCTCAGGATTGACATCGCAGGACTGGGTCTGATTTAAAACACTGGATGACGTTTTGAGCTGTTTCATCCATGAAATGCCGATTTGTATACATTTGGTAAAAAAAAATGTCAATATTAACACGAGCATTGCTGTTTTATCACAGTTCACTCATATCGCTTGTTTTATAGCTTAAAAAAAACATTTTAAATGTGTGCAGCTACTCTTTAATTTTAATTTAATTATTACCCAGAGACATCAGAGTACCAGAGTGCATCACACCGAGAGCATCTGTCTCAACTTGATCACACACACTCCACACACACGCACACACACACGCACACACACACACACACACACACACACACACACACACACACACACAC